GCTGCAGTCAGCTTGTCAGCCTGGGAATGGAGCTGAGAGTCAGGAGAAATCCAGGCCTGGAAAAGAATTTCCAAGCTGGAATTCCCCAGCTCTGTCAATGTGTGTGTCCACAGTTTTATAGCAGGACTGAACTCCCAGAGCAGAGAAAAGGTGATTGGTTCAGAGAGAAGACACCCCATGGCCAGGGCCTGGGCACACACCACAACAGGGCTTTGATTTTGTTATTAATTCCTTTTTATTTTGACCAAATCATCACCTTGGGAGAAATTCTCCCCAGCCTTGAGCTGGACCAGCTCATGGGCTGGGAACAGAGCTGAGAAATTCCAGCCTGGAATATTTTCCAGGCTGTAATTTTCTCACTTTCTCAATTTGTGCCCCACATTCCTCCCTCACTGGGATTCCAGCATTCCAGGATCAGGATTTCCTCCTGAGGATCCTCCAGGATCAAGATTTGGTGACCAGGACAAATGGGATGGGTTTGGATCCAGTTTGGTGTAAGGAAAGAATTCCCTGCACAGAGCAGCTCCCTGGAAGTGCCCAAGGAGTTTTGGAGGAAAAAAGAGGAACCTCCAGCTCCATCCCTGCCCTGTGTCATTAAAGAAATTAAAATTTAAAAAATAGGATTGGGATTTCTCCAGAGCCTCCAGAATCCCCCTCGGGATTTGGAGCATCCTCAGATCCCTCCAGGCTCTCCCTTCCCAAAAATCCAGCCTGGAATGAAACCAGAAATAATGGATCCTGAGGTTCTGCAGACCTCAACCAGGGGCTGCACTCAGGGAAATCTTTTCCTTCACTTTTTCATCCCAAATCCCTGAAAAACGAAAATATCCCTTGGAAATCTTTAAAGGAAAAGCTGGATGGAAATGCCTAAAAATCCTGCAAGTGCTGGTGACTCCAAGCTGGGAATATTCCCAGAAATTCCTGATTTTATTCCCCAAATATTCAGGTCTCCAAAGCATCCTCAGAGCTCATCCCAAATCCCTGAAAAACATGGATAAACATGAAAAACCCAAACCATGAAAAACATGGATACAACATTCCTTTCAAATCTCTTCTGGGTTATTTATCCACACTATAAAATGGATTTTTCCACTTCTAATTCCCATTTTTCCTCCTCATCATCCCTGAAAAACATGGATACAACATCTCTTCTGGGTTATTTATCCACACTATAAAAATGGATTTTTCCACTTCTAATTTCTCTTTTTCCTCCTCATCTTCACAAAATTTCTCCTGGGAAAAGCTGAATGTCAAATCCCAAAAATCCTGGAAGAGTCTGGGAATATTCCCACAAATTCCTGGTTTTTTTTTCCAAAATCCAGGTGTCCAAAGCATCCTCAGAGCTGATGAATTACTGTGAGCAGCATGCCCGGAGTGATCCTCTCCTGGTGGGAGTTCCTGCTTCTGAAAATCCCTTTAAGGACAAAAAGCCCTGCATCATCCTATAGCTCTGGAATGTTCCAGAAGGAAATCCCGACCCAGCCTCTGGATCCAGGCTCCTCCACCTGCTCCCAGGGGTAAAAACTCAAAGCTGGCTTCAAACAGAACTTAAAAAAAAAATCCGAGAAAAACAAAAAAAAAACACCCCAGAGAAATACAAAAAAAAAACCCGAGAAAAACAAAAAAAAACCCAGAGAAAAACAAAAAAAGCCCCAAAGAAATACAAAAAAAACCCACAAGAAAAGCAAAAAAAATCCCCGAGAAAAACAAAAAAAACCCGAGAAAAACAAAAAAAACCCCAAGAAAAATTTAAAAAATTACCAAGAAAAACAAACAAGAAACACCAAGAAAAACAAACAAAATAACAAAATCACACCCCAAAAACAATCCTGAAAAAAAAAAAAAAAAATCAATTTGGAATCTGGGTGGGAGGGGTTTTTAGGGGAAGGGAAAGGGGTGGTTGCTTCCTGGTGGGGTTAAAAATTGGGATCAGGATTTTTCAAATTTATTCGGGTTTGTGGGAGGAAAAAGGGGGAGGGGGGAGGAGGATTTTTCATTGGGATATTTGGATTTGGGAAAAGGGTGGTGGAGGAGGGGCTGAATTCCCAGTGGGATGTGAGAGCTGGATCCAATCAGGAATTTCCTCTGGAGAAGGGACGAGGTTGGGAGAGATTTTGTAGAAAATCAGTACAAAAAAAAAACCCTAAAAAAACAACAAAAACAACAAACTAAACAAAACCCCCCCCAAAAAAATCCCAAATCCAGCTGGAAAAATCCCTGTTGGGATCCAGGGATGGCCCTGAAGGGGAAAAAAAATCCCAGGAGGAATTTTGGGGATCCCCAGGGATCCTTGGGAGGGTCTCTGAGCTGTCCCCAAATTCGGGGAAGGAGGGAAAAAACTTCCTGGTGCATCCAGAATTTTGGGAAAAAATCGTTTTTTAGGGGAATTTCAACCTAAATTGGGGAATTCCCGGCGTTTCCCATCTCCCTTTTCTGGATTCTTCCCTCTGGGAAATGTGCAGGGAGGGCGAGGACCGGTTCTGTTCCCGTCCTTTGGGAATTCGGGACTGGGATTTAACTGGGAGGGCTTGGATGGCACGGGGGTGAGGCAGCAGGGAAAGGGGGAACAGGGAAAAAGGGGATCCAGGAAAAAAAGGGGGAACAGGAAAAAAGGGGATCCAGGATAAAAGGGGGATCCAGGGAAAGGAGGAAGAGGAAAAAGGAGGATCAGGAAAAAAGGGGATCCAGGGAAAGGGAAAGGGGCAGGAAAAGGGAGAGCAGGAAAAGGGGGAACAGGAAAAATGGGGAGCAGGAAAAGGGGGGATCCAGGGAAAAGGGGGATCCAGGGAAAGGAGAATCCAGGGAAAAAGGGGATCCAGGGAAAAGGAGGAACAGGAAAAAGGGGGAGCAGGAAAAGGGGGGATCCACGGAAAGAGGGATCCAGGAAAAAAGGGGGATCCTGAGAAAAGGGGGAAGAGGGAAAGGGGGATCCAGGAAAAAGGGGATCCAGGGAAAGGAGAATCCAGGGAAAAGGGGAACAGGAAAAAGGGGGGATCCACGGAAAGAGGGATCCTGAAAAAAGGGGGATCCAGGGAAAGGGGCAGGAAAAGGGAGAGCAGGAAAAGGGGGAACAGGAAAAAGGGGATCCAGGAAAAAGGGGGATCCAGGGAAAGGGGAAACAGGAAAAAGGGAGATCTAGGGAAAGGGGATCCTGGAAAAGGGGGACCTGTCCGGGCCACCAGATTTGTCGGGAAGGGACAGATCCCGGGATTTGGGTGTGGTGTCCCCAATCCATGTCCCCCATCCCGGGGCTCAGCAGCTCCTGGGAGAATTCCCAGAATCCCGAGCCCAGGATTTTGGGAAGAGGAGGGATAAAAACACCACCAGCCACGCCTGACGTGAAATCCTGGGAGTTTCCCCATTCCCCCCCCAAAAAAACAACTTTGGATTGGGTTAGGAATGCCAGAGATTCCATCAATAATTCCCTTGGGACAGGATTTTGCAATTCCCTGGATTGCGGTGGTGCAGGCTGGACACCGGGAGCTGCTCCAGCCCTTTTCCAAATTCCTGGAATTCCCCAGGAGCTGCTCCGTGTCCCCTCCCGGCTGCGGGAATGTCGCCATTCCTTTTATTCCTCTTTTCCATTCCCCGTCATTTGCCATTGAGAGTCGGGAAAACGCCGAGAATTCCCCTCGCTGTCCCCTCAGCCCCAGCAAAGCCTTTTCTGGAGGGTTTGATCCCAAATCCCAAATCCCAAATAATCCCATCCAAGCGGAATCACGCGGCCACTCCCGAGTCCAGCCCGGGATTCCTTCTCCAGCAGGGAATTCCCTCTCGTCCTGAATTTCCCTTTTCCAGCAGGGAATTCCCTCTTGTCCTTAATTTCCCTTTTCCAGCAGGGAATTCCCTCTTGTCTTTAATTTCCCGGACAGTTCCAGCCCGGGATTCCTTCTCCAGGAGGGAATTCCCTCTCGTCCTTAATTTCTCGGACAGTTCCAGCCTTATTTTTCTACTCCAGATCTGATTCTTCCTCTGTGTTCGAGACCAGAGCTTGGTGCTATCCCGGAGCCGGGGCTGGAGCCGGGAATTCTTCCTCCCTCTCCTCCTCCTCCTCCTCCTCCTCATCCTCATCCTCAGGGGCTCCAGCCCCCCCATCCCGGGAGAATCCCGTGGGATGTGAATGAAGGGGATGGGAGGAGGGGAAAGGAGAAAGGAAATGGGGATGGGAAAAGGGAAATGGGGATGGGGAAAGGGAAATGGGGATGGGAAAAAAGGAAAAAGACCCAGGAGAAGAGACAGGGAGCTGGGAAAAGGGGCAGGGAAATGGGGTCAAGGAGAAGGGAAAAGGATTCAGGAAATGGGGCTGGAAAAAGGGAAAAGGGGCAGGGAAATGGGGTTGGGAAAAGGGAAAAGGGGCAGGGAAATGGGGTCAAGGAGAAGGGAAAAGGAGCTGGGAAAAGGGGCAGGGAAATGGGGTTGGGAAAGGGGAAAAGGAGCTGGGAAAAGGGAAAAGGGAAAAGGGGTTGGGAGAGGGGAAAAAGGGTTGGGAGAAGAGAGAAGGGGATGGGGAAAACAGAAAAAGGAGCCAGGAGAAGGGACAGGGAGTTGGGAAAAGGGGATGGAAAAATGGAAAAGGGGCAGGGAAAAGGGAAAAGGAGATGGGGAAAAAGGAAAAGGGATTGGGAGAAGGGAAAAGAGGATGGGGAAAAGGAAAAGGAGCCAGGAGAAGGGGCAAGGGGCTGGAGGAAAAAAAGGGGCAAGGAGAGGGGAAAAAGAGCTGGGAAATGGGGTTGGGAAAAGGGAAAAGGGGTCAAGGAGAAGGGAAAAGGAGCTGGGAAAAGGATCCAGGAAATGGGGTTGGAAAAAGGGAAAAGGGGCAGGGAGGCCGTGGAGCAGCTCCCAATTTTTGGGTCCCAGCAGGAGCTGGGGCTGGGATTGCTGGCAGGTGGGAAAAAAA